TCTGCAATAAAGCTCTTGTGGCACTAAAAAAAGTTAATTTTTGTGAAGCATTAGACATCCACATTCCATTATAACAATTGATATCCAAAACCTACATATTCTGGTAGAGTACTTGAACGAAATAATTATAAATTCGTCATTTACCCAACAATATCATTATTACAAAAGCAGCTTTCGATGCTATAGCTTGCGTCATCGGTTGTCTAAGTTCAAGAATATAAAATGTTAAAACAAGAGCCAAAAAAACAAAATTAGATAAATAGATTAATAATAATAATAATAATAATAATAATAATATAATAATAATAATAATAAACATGTTTTGAGTGGAAAACACATTCTTTCGACATGGAAGAGATCCCACAAATTTACCTGGACATCCCAAGGAAGTAGATCAATAATTGATTATCTTAAAAGCAAATGAGAAGATGGGAAAATGATTCCAGGTGTTAAAGCCATGAGAGGAAAGGATATCCTTCTGATTGTTTCATTGGTAAGAGGGAAAGTTGTTCAGCCAACTAGAGGGGTGAAATAAAACACCAAGAAATAAAGATGTAAAGGGAAACGGGCATGGAAAATTAATGTACTAGAGATCTAAGTATTAGAAAACTTTTTCAAACATTCATAAATATCTACATGAGAGAGCGTCCTATAAGTATGGGCCATCAAATTAGAATTGGCATTACCTCCTTTCAACTAATCGAAAAAGTAGCCTCTGAAACTCTTGGAAGAGGAATAATATAAAAACAGAAAGGGGCTGAAAATTTTGTAATGAAGAACTTAAGTATACTGTTGAAACAGAAGAAAAAAAACTAACATCTACAGTGGCTCACGAAGATAAATCCTGAGGTGTTGAAAGATCTAGAAGCTCAGGAACAAACAAGGCACTAGTTCAAAGCCTGCGCATTAAGAAAAGCTGGGGGAAAGGTATGTCTTAAAATTTGAATATGACCAAGCGTGGTTCACCAGGCTAACAGCTTATAAAAATACTAAAACCATTTAATAGAGAGAAAAGACGCAGTTCAACTTAGAACTTCTTAATAAAGAAGATTGGCTAAATAATTTGCAAATCCGTATGGTGTGAAGAACTTTAAATTACACATACAAGAAATTATGAAGAGAATGACAATTGTTCTTTTGAAATGATTTAAAATAGAATATAAAGGAATTTGCAGGAACCTTTACAAAGCTAAACATCAAAAATCCACAGGACAGCAATAATAAATATAGATCTCTTTAAATACTCCAGAAGAAGCCAAAACACAAATTACTTAGATTTCTTGATTCAATGTTGGCAGCAGCAAAAAATACCAATTGAAAATGGAAGAAAAGCAATAATTAGTTCCTATTTTTCAAAAGACGCTAATGAAACAGACTGTAAAAACTACCAAAAGATAAGTTTGTTGGCAACAAAATATTAGCAAAAAAAATAGCCAAATTACGCTCAGAAACATCATAGCAAAATGAACTGTTGGAACAAGAATGGGACTTAGGAAGGCGAAATCTTGCCAGAGAATTTTTTTTCCCCCCAGCAATCATAGAAAAGAGAAAAGAATAAATTTGACGACCCACATTGTTTTTATTGATTGCCAGAAAAAGCATTTTGCAGTGTTAGTAGAAGTTAAACTGTGGAATGTACTGGAGCAGAAAAAGGGAATATCACTACATCCTAATTAAATTATCAGCAATATGTATGCAGGTACACGGATAAAGGATAAAAACTTAAAAATCAGACACCGTTTCGAACAAACTATGACAAAAGGGTTAAAACCAAGGTTGATGTATTCACAATTCTTTTTATTAGTCCCACAGCTTTCCAAGGTACTCCACTCTTAAGATGTAAGATCGTTTGAGCGACCATAGGAAATTGAATAAAAGTAATATACTTTTTAGATTTGTTCTAGATGTAAATTTATCAACCAGGAGAAGAGTTGAATTTTATTGAAATGAAAGACATTATTCAACCTTATGAGTGTTTTTAAAAAGACTTTTTAAATATCCATTACTGCTAGCAACAATAAAAATATGGGGTCATGTGCACATATCGCAGCCCTGCTGGGATTTGAAAATCTTTTTAAAAAAATCTGGATATTATTTCTAACAAAACTTAAAAAAAACGCAGACAGTATAATTATTCTTTGCAGTGTCTTCAATATTAAATTGCCTCACACAATTCCAGTAATGAAATCTATTTAAAGACGCTACGTTAAAATTATACAAATTTACAAAAACAACCATAAATACATCACTACAAATATCCAAAATAGTAGCATTGCTATAGATGAAATAATAATAGATGCCAAATAACCATTGTTTTTCTGTTGCTACATTTAACCACAGGTTCAGTGGACCACACTGCCCAGTTCTAACACTTCAACAGAAACCAAAAAACCGCGAAACAGACAAACTACAAAAAATCGGTAACTATCCCAAGGAATCATAATAAAACTTCAAACTTACTTCAGATTTGAAAACTGGAATGAAGTATATAAGGCAAACTGATACAAATTATAAGTTAATTCCATTATAAATATATATACGTAAGGCATTTTCAAATGCCATTTTTCCTCAAAAAACTCAAAAAGTTTTCAAAATAAGAAAACTAAATCGATGGATTGCACAGGCATCGAAGGTCATACGAAAGAAATCGCCCAATATGTCTAATAAATACATTAACAAATATATCTCAAACTTTCATTCATATTCCAATACATATAATTTTATCCTAAAAAAGTAATCCAAATAAGCAAAAATTTATGACAAAACGAAAAAAGTACATTGCAAATGCATGTAATAAACAAAAGCGATGTGGAACATTATTAAAAAGACCACAGCACCAACTCATAATAACAGAAAAATATTATAGAGCTCCACTACAAAAACCAAACTGAATACATGAATAGACCGATATATTAAATGAAACACATTTCACAAATTAGTAAAAAGTTAATCTCTCAACACACACTAAACAAAAAACACACCAACAAACACAAACATTAAACACAATTGTAAAATTCTATATTTTTATATGAACCAACCCCCTCTGAAAGTGTGTGTAAAATCATTGGACAAATGGAGAAATAAATTCGTCCAACAAGCATTGAACAAACATTTCCAGATTTTCTTATTAAACACAGTGCTCCATTGTATAGTGCAACCACTATCTCACATCTGCAATTACTCTCTAAAATCAGGCATATTCCCAGATATATTCAAAACAAGTAAAAATTAAATCAATGTTTAAACAAAGCAACACATAATTTACCAATTCACTATGTATAATCACTTTTTTCAAGAAAAGCCCTCCAGAAATTCTTAACTGCCTAGTTAACGCCGGAAGGCGCGAAGTGTCGGTTTAAAAGACTTCTTTAGGTTAACGCGTTTTAAAACTACATTTCAGTGGCTTTCAATGATTTCATAGACTCAAACAGTTTCTCAATGCAAATAATGTCCTTACAAATGCCCAACATAGCTTCAGGAGTAATAGACCCCATAAGGCACATCCATCTGCTCCTTTTTAAATGACATACTTGTTGCACTAATCAGAAGGAAATTTCCATTGGCCTTTTCTTAGATTTTTGAAAAGCCTTTCACATCATTGACCATCACATTACTTTAAGAAAACTAGAAATTCTAGGATTCGATGCATTGCAGGCCAATGGACAAATCATTATTTATCAAACCGTGCCACATAGTTGCCAGCACACTAAAGAAAACAAAAATCTCCTCATTCTACTCCTTCCTAAAATGATAAATTGTGGAGTCCCGCAAGGAATCTGCTCTCGGGCCAAATACTATTTCTTATATACATAAATTACATGCCATTTGCGTTTTAAGAAATTAAGAAAATAATTTTGTTTGCAGATGACACAAACATAATCATCAAGCAAAAACACAACAATCATTAGAAAAAGAAACTTGCCAAAACTTTGCAAGCACTAGTAATGGTTTCAAGCAACAAACTCATAAAAGACAGTCTCTCTAAATTTCATGACTCCCTAATCTAAAGAAAGAAAAAAATCTCACATTTGCCTCATAAACAATAAACCCTGTAATGTATCTCATGCAACTACCCTCTCAGTCTAATAATGCAAGAAAACCTAAAAATGAATGGCTTCACATCCAAATCTTACAAGCTTTAACAAATCTGCTATGTCCATACACCCTCAGGCAGCTCCATGAGGACACTTCAGAAAACAATGTTATTTTGCACAATGTGCACTCACACCTAAAATATGGAATTAATATTCAGGGAATGCCCCTGAAAGCACTCGCCACATTATCAAAAAAAGAATATGCGAACAATGACCAGCACTCATAATGCTGGGAGTCTTGCAAACCCTTGTTTTAGAAAACTAAGGATTCTTCCTCAG